AATAGATAAATGCTATTTTGAACCAATGAATGGTTCAAAATAAAAAAATAAAAAAATATAAAGTATATTTTTGATTATAAATAAAAAAAAGAATCGATACATAAATGATTAAACAAATAAATGTAAAACTATTTTAAATACAAATAAAATAAATAAATAAACTGGATTTAATTTTAAATAAATATAATTAAAGAAAGCTCAAATAAATAATAATAATAATAAAAAATACAAAATAAACAAAATAAACAAATAATAGCCAATATAAATGAATTTATCTAAAAAAAAAAATATATATATATAATTAAATTACAATAAATTACTTTTATTTATAAATAAAATAAAATAATATTATAAACAAATGTCACAAAACAGACATGATATTATATATTTCGAATGTAAATAGATTTAAAAATTAAGCGTAACGAAGGAGATTCACAGCTGAAGTCAAGGTGAGCTTTCTGATAATCTCAGATGATGCAGACATGATTAATGATGATTAATTACCGTTTTGTTCTTTTCAGGCTGTAAGCATTTGTGGGTAATATCTTATAAATCAATTAAATCAGTAAAAAAAAAAATATATATATATGTTTAATCAGTTAAAAAAAATAGATAAATGCTATTTTGAACCAATGAATGGTTCAAAATAAAAAAATAAAAAAATATAAAGTATATTTTTGATTATAAATAAAAAAAAGAATCGATACATAAATGATTAAACAAATAAATGTAAAACTATTTTAAATACAAATAAAATAAATAAATAAACTGGATTTAATTTTAAATAAATATAATTAAATAACATTATGAATAAATATAAAAATAAATGAATTAATACATTTATAGTTTTTTATAAATAAAAATATACTAATAAATATAAAATATATTTTGAATTATAAGTAAATAAACTATAATGAAATCATGACTAAATGACTAAATAAATAAATATAATTAAAACTATATTATGGAAAAAAAAAACATAAAAAAATATATTATGAATAAATAAAAAGTTAATGCTATTATATATTAACAAATAAACAACTAAATAAATAAATATTGTGAAAGAATTGAACAAATAAATCTAAAATAAAATTTTTATTATAAATACATAAATTGTCTTATAATGAGTAAATGAATGAATGAGTGAGTGAGTGAATGAATAAATAAATAAGTCC